GTGTTTTTTTTTTTTTTTTTTGCGGGACGCAGTTAATTTGGAGTTCAGTGATTAATTTTCCCTTTTTCTCTTCTTCACAGCTCCTGGTCCATCTTTGGAGAGAGCGACGACGTCATTGGCATCATTGGGAATTCAAGAAGAGAAGCGGAGTTTCGGGATGGAAGTAGCTCAGCTGCTAATATCTTTGCTGCATGGTTGGGGACTGGATCCAGACCTGGATCGGGTTTGTCAAGCGAAACTCGGGCTTTTGCGTCCCATGGTTCCCGTGTCATTCGGTCTTCTATCTCGTGGAGGTACAGTACAGTACATTACTGTACATATATTCGTGTCAATGAGGAATTTTTTGCTCGAAATATTGTCGAGAGGTATTCAGGAGACGAATCGGTTTCAGCTAGATATTTTTGTCCGCATATTGCGGTGGGTCTTTTTTTTTTTTCATTGCTGAAGCTTTTTTAGGGTCGCTTCCTGTTTTCAACTCGGTCTACAATTCCTAAATTTTCAGTCGAGTCTAAATTGTTTTTCTGGACTTTTTTTGTGAATCACGTTTTTATGTTGAGATTTTTTCAATTCTTAAATTTCACGTTGAAGCGGATTTTGATCCAATGAATATACTGTACAGCGTTCCCTGAAACACGACTAATTATGAGCATTCCTGTAAAACACTTCTCGAACTTCATTTTTGATGCATATAATGCAAATTCATGTTCGGTATTGGAAATATGTCACATGTCAGGTTTTTCAGAGTGTATTTCCATAGGTGAGCATTCAAAGTTCAAAAGATGAAAAAAATGAATAACGTGTTTACTGGTTTTATGACTTCATATCTGCAAGAAATGGAGGTCTTTATTTTGAAGAATCTTGGCGGTATTTCAGACGATAATGACATGACTAAAAAATATTTGAATGGATTTAGTTTACGTACCTCATCAAATTTTAAGGGCTACGCTAGTTTTTTTTTTTTTTTTTTCCTGTTCAAAGGAGTTAATTTACATTGAGATCAACTGTACTCACCGGGAAAGAGGTTTCAGGAAGCTTGGTGAAATCAGTGTATACGTTAGAAACTGGAAATTGAGTACTGAAGATTCGCTGACAGTTCTGATTCACGAGCTTCGCGTGGCGGAAGCCAAGCCTATTTTAATGAGAATTGAACGTCCCTCTTATTTCCTTCAATATTTTTATCCTCAAAAATATATCTCAATGTTCTTTTCTGACTGATCACATTGGTTCTTTAAAAAATTTTCCCCCAGGGTATATGTCGCTGTTTCTGCCTACTTGGTTCCCTCCAGTCGTGCAGCCGGTGGAAGTGGCCGAGAACCTCCCACTCAAGGAGTACGAGGTTCTGTTGGCGAAGAAGACAGAGTTTTTCACCGCCAGAGGTCGCTGGGAACTGGCCCCTGCCATAACCACTCACCACCTATTGACGATTGTCTCCGTGTCCAATACTCTCATGTCCATGTCCAACGCCACATTCCTGGGCGAGGATCAAAAACGTGCCAGGTTAATGAAGTGGGTATTGTTTATTTTATGTATTTATTTTTAAAAATTTAGTTCACTCACAAATACAACGAAGCATTCCATCGCATGAAGCCGTTTCCTTACCGTATTCAAATTTAGGACATCAGGCGTTGAAAAAGAAAATGACTTGATTTTTAAGTTTAAAGTTAAACGAATCAGTGTTTTTTTTTTCTCCTTGTTTTGCAGACAAATGACGCTAAAGGATGGAGAGGCGATTAATGATAACCAAGTTAAACAAGGATGGAGTTTGTTGACAACCTTGCATTGCATTTTGTTACCCGATATTGTCGCTGGGAAGTACAAACGCATTCGAGTAAGTGCATTTCTTCATCAGATCAATGATTTTTTTGGTAACACTGTTCACTTTTTTACACTTTTTTTTAGGTTGAAATGCTGGCGAGACGTTGGCAAGATCGATGCCTCGAGGTAAAGTATTCGAAATTGCTCTCTTGATTTGAGCGTGAAGCTTATCAAATAGGGATCGACTTTTGTGAGATGTCTTCCGCATTTCTCCTGAAAGCGTTGAAAATAATGGGTCAATTTTTTTCTTCTATTAATTGAATGTCTTTTCTGACACCATAAACTTCGCATCTGTGAAGTGAACCGGTAGTCTGTGAAATGCGGACGATATTTATTAGATACGTTGCATTTATGGCGATTCCGTGATTAACTTGGAGTTTTAATTTTTATCGCGAATTCCTCAAGAACGAGCAATGCATTGGAATAACTTTTTTTTCTTTCTCCAATTGGATTCCTTGAATGCCGCATTAGGTTCTCGTCATATCAGGATGATTAATGGCATTTTAACATCGCATGTTGCATGTAAAAATTAATTTAAAATTATATGATTTGCTCTTTCAAGGTCAGAGAAGGGGCTCAGGCGTTACTGTTGGCGGAACTGAACCGAATCGGGCCAAAAGGCAGAAAAGCTTTAGTGGAAGCATGGGCTCCGTTTTTGCCGACTTTTAGCGAAATCGTTTCGTCGTCGTCTGCGCATCAAGCGCACGGTGTTGGCAGCCAAAATCCGACTGCTGCTTATTCTCACGGTGCCCCTCAATATCACGGGCATCATGGACAGGTAAACAGAGTATTTCTTTTTTCTGTGTAGATATTTTTTCAAGTGGTGCATCTGTGCCGTGTTTCCGCGAAAATGTGACCTTCCGATTAAAAATACAGTATATTTTTCACCAGTTTTGGCCGATTTTTAATGTATCTCCCTAAAATTGCCCGTTTCTTTTCAACAGTTAATCGTAATTAGGATTGCTATTTCTAAAAATTCTGGATTCGATTCTTGAGAATTTAATCCATTACTGGTTGATTTTTTTAACTTGCTGGTAAAAAGTGATAGAATATGCCCTGAAAAGTGAGCCAAGGGCTGCAGTGGAAAGGAGGATTGAGACATTTCTTAAAATTTGAAGAAAACTAAGTTTTATGCAAGGATAAACGCCGGAGATTCATGTGGTCTTTTTAAAAAAAATCATCCGCATGTCG